GCCAGAAAATAAGAAAATGCTTTAAAAGTGTTTTAATGAGGGGTGGCCAGGTGGCTCAGTTGATTAGAGCCTGAGCTCTGAGTAACAGGGTTGCCGGTTCGATTCCCACATGGGCAAGTGAGCTGTGCCTCCATCAACTAGATTGAAGATGACTTGAGCTGAGCTGTCGCTGGGCAGCTAGAGCATGTGCTCTTAACAACAAGGTTGCCAGTTCAACTACCACATGGAATGGTGGGCCACGCCCCCTGCAACTAGATTAAACATGGCACCTTGAGCTGAGCTGCCAATGGGTGGCCAGATTGCTCAATTGGCTAGAGCATGTGATCTTAACAACAAGGTTGCTGGTTCGACTCCTGCATGGGATGGTGGGCTGCGCCCTCCACAACTAAGATTGAAGGACAACAACTTCACTTGGAGCTGATGAGTCCTGGGGAAAACACACTGTTCCCCAATAAAGTATTTTTAAAAAGTTGTGGGGGCCGGCCGAGTGGCTCAGTTGGTTAAGAGGGTCGCCAGTTCAATTCCCACATGGGCCAGTGAGCAGTGAGCTGTGCCCAAGCCAAGCTGCCAACAGGTGGCAGGATGGCTCAGCTGGTGAGAGCACGTGCTCCTAACAACAAGGTTGCTGGGATGGTGGACTATGCCCACCCGCAACTAAGATTGAACACGGCACCTTGAGCTGAGTGGCCGCGAGCTGTTGATGGGTGGCCGGATGGCAACCGGACTTGGAGCTGAGCTAACTGTGCCCTCCACGGCTAAGATTGAAGGACAAAAACTTGGCTGTTCCCCTTCCCCAATTCCCCAACACTGTTCCCTTCCCCAATTCCCCAATAAAAATCTTTTTTTTTAATGTTTTTTAATTTAAAAAAATTATTGATGGGATATGTCAAAGACACACAGGAACCAAGTAAAAGAGCTCCCAACGACCAAAGCTAGAATAATTTGAGCAACAAAATAAAGTATATTTGATTATAACACGAAGAAAGTATAAAATAAATATCCATTAGTCTATACTGATTGAAATGGGTAGATAGATAGATAAAATGAATCTCCCACACAGAGTTCCAAGTAATTTTTTAGTTTTTATTTTTTTAAAGAGTTTATTGGGGAATTGGGGGAGGGAAACAGTGTTGGGGAATTGGGGAAGGGGAACAGCCAAGTTGTTGTTCTTCAATCTTAGTTGTGGAGGATGCAGCTAGCTCAGCTCCAAATCCAGTCACGATCTGGCCGCCCACCAGCAACCTTGTTGTTAAGAGCACACTCTCTAATCACTGAGAGCTCGGCCTCAAATCACTGGCCCATGTGGGAATCTAACCGGCGACCCTATTGCTCACAGCTCGCACTCTTAACCAACTGAGCCACTCGACGGGCCCGAATTCCAAATAATTTAGTAGCTACTTCTCCCTCAAGGAGGTGGAGCCTAACTCTATACCTTAAATGTGGGTTGTGCATGTAACTTCCTTCCAAAGACTACAATATGGAAAGGAGGAAAAAAGAATAACTTTACAATGGATAAACCTGACAAAAACTCCCTCAGCCAGGTGATCAAAGTCAACATCAACAGTGACAAGACATTTTGATAGTATGTATCTATAATAGTAGCACCCTTGATATGTGATAAATGACAGTTACCTCTGTGATCTTCTTCCCCAAAACTCATAACCACAGTCCAATCATGAAAAAAAAAATCTAATAGAGGGACATTCTACAAAACACTTGATAAGTACTCCTCAAAACTGTCAAGGTAATCAAAAACAAAGTCTGGGAAACTGACAGCTAAGAGGAGCCTAAGAAGATATGACAGTTAAATGTAATGTGGTATCCTGGATGGGATCCTGGAACAGAAAAAGAACTTTAAGCAAAAATAAAGAAAATCTGAATAAAGTATGGACTTTCATTAATAATATCAATATTGTTTCATAATTCTAACAAAATATATCAATATAAGATATTAATAATAAGGTAACTGAATGTGGGGTATATGGGAACTCTCGTAGTATCCTTATAATTTTTGTGTAAATCTAAAACTTCTAAAAATTAAGCTTATTTTTAAAAAATAATATTTTTAAAGTTGCCTATCTCTAGTCCAGCTAGATATTAAAGATAAAAGGCTTAAGCCAGTTATTCTAAAATGTTAGCACACATCAGAATAACCTAGAGGGCTTGTTAAAACATATTGTTAGGCCCCACCTCCAGATTTTCTGGTGCAGGAGGTCTAACGTGGGACTAGCAAATGTACATCACTAATAAGTACTCAGGTGCTGCTGCTGCTGTTTCTGCTCCAGGGACTGTGCACACACTTTGAGAACCACTGGTGTAAACTCAAGGATTAAAACAATGAAGAACTCTAACCACGTCCGGCAGGTGGGGGCGTTTGGGGAGCATTCCTTGGAAATTTTCCAGGAACCCTTCCAGATCCCTGGAGGAGTCCCATTATCTACTCTACTTTACGTCCACCCCTCTTCCCTCATCCTAAAGCTCAATGATTTAGCAGTACACTGATGAGATAGAAATGACTCAAAGTCGGCATGTAGCCAAGAACTCCCAAAGTAGTGAAGGAGTTCACTACTACCGTATTTGCCGGCATATAAGACGATTTTTTTGGCCCTGAAAAATATGCCTCCAAGTGGGGGGTCGTCTTATACACCAGGTACACTTCAGATAGACTGCCCATAGTGCTTGCCCCGTGCCATAGTGGCCTCCCGATGCCCGCCCACTTCATTCCACATACCGTTCAG